AAAAAAGAAGTTGTACCTAAGCAAGCAGATTCCAGAATATTTCTGCCAACGAGCAGGCTCTTTTGCCTCATCTCTAGCTACTTAATGCCAAGGACTGTTCATTCAACAGGTTGCTGCAGAACAGCAAAGCCACGGGAGAAAAAGGGCCAAGTATTAACCGAACGTGGAAGAACTTAAGCGAGAAAGGAGGAAAAATGCTTACCCAGATCAATGTCTGTAAACCCCTCCGCATTGATGGCGTCAGACGTGTTCTTGTCTATGTTCTCTAGGCAAAGGCTGGCCAGCTGAGGCTCGTCAAAAAGCCTTGCCTAGTAACGAAGCAGCAGGCGTTAACACAAAAGGTATTTTTAAGTGGGGCTTACACTAAACGCGGATCCCTCCTCCTCCTCCTCCCTGAGCCATCTTCATTAACTGGGCCTGGCTGCGCCGCAGACTCACGCGGCTGCAGTCGCCTTTCGCGAGCAGTTCAGCACGATGAGGCAAACACCCGAGAGCTCAGGAACTGGCGCAGGCTCCGCGCGGGCCGCGCGTGTCCCCAGGCACGTCGGGGTTCTGACGCCGCAGCGCTCAACACGGCCCGAGCGCCAGCAAGGGTTGTATCCGCTGGGCCGGCCAAGGCATCTGAATTTAGGCGTTTTTAAGGCATTTTTAGATTCAGAAGAAAGCTCAGCCCAATGACTGCCGCCCGCTCGCCCTGAGGGGGTGCAGGGGTGGCCTGGCCTGCAAGGGCCCCGTCACGCTGAGCCCACACGTTAGTTCAGCTCCGTAGCAGGCGACCTGCCCACATCCCGGTGAGCCCGGCGGATCCTAGCGTGTGTTTTGCACGGGAGCATCCACTCTGAGCTACTTACCCTAAAGAAATTCCACCAAAACGAGGGCACTAGTCCAGCCAAACACACAACCTGCACACAGCGCGGCGAGTCGCTCAGAATTTCCCTGCCCGGGGCAAGTGCAGAGTCATAACCATTTCACTGCTATGAATATGTTACCATCCCTATGCCTTGTACAAGCAGAAAAGAGGGTTTTTAGAGCCTCTCAGACACTTGGACACACAGAGGAGCCACATGGACAATTTCTTCTTTCTGATTCTTTGTCTTCGCTACTTAGTAAGTGACCGTCTGAACACCACACCTAGCGTGACAATGCCACAACACTCAATACCCCAGGTAATGTCCAAAACAGCTTGTTTTGGGCTGGAAACCCAGCTGCTGGAAGCACTCTTGGACCTCTCCTGCTTCACACTTCTCCACAGCCTGGAGAGTTGGGAAGGGCCCACCTTAAACACCAAGAAGTCCAAAGCAAAGAGAGGGAACAAGTATCCGGTTTTGGAAGAACGGGGGAAGTTTCATGAGTGAAGTGCCCTGCTCTCAGTGCGGAGGGCAGCTGGCACCCCACATTCCTGGCACCCAGGAGCTGCGACCGATTCCGGCTCCGTTGCTGCCACAGTTCTCTCTTGACATGTGAAGGACTCTCGTTCCGTTCACAGGGCTCTCCCTTCAGGCAGGTTATTATTCCTGTGTTGATCAAAGCAACGTTCCCTTGTACATCTGGCACAACAGAGCACCACGGTGGCACAAACCACCAGCAAAACCGCTTGCCACTTATGTTCCTGCCAGAGACCTGCTTCAAACACTGCCAGTGTCACATTTGCTAGAGCAGCAGGGATGCACGCGGAGGGGGTCTGGGATCTTACACTGGAGCACCAGCACCGCAGGGAAACGGTTCGTACAAGAGGCAGCCCAGACCTCGAGGCTGTAGCTGCCGCCACAAACTGTCGGATTTGTTCAGGAAGAGCAAAAACAGAGTCTGATCTTCAAAGTGACCGACCCAAAGCGGCAGCATCCTGAGAAGAGATTCCCAAGGTGCCTTGTGCAGCCTGCTGCTGAGATGCAGACAAGTTTCTCAAAGATTCCCAGCCTCAAACATTTTAAAGACTTGGTGAACTACAATAGCAAAGAGTGATTCTTGGTAAACTATGATAGTAAAGAGTGATTCATATCTATTTTTTTTTACTAGTGATAACTGATCATAACAGATAGGCCACAAACTAATTTTGTGAAGCAAAAGGAACCAGGGAAGCCTGTCTCCATCTGGCCTTTCAGCTGTCCAGTGCACTGGGAATTAGACAGTGTGTCAGGTACTACCTTGTTTTTGATACCTGAAAAACTAGGACACTCTTGGGCCAAACAAGCACCTCTGTGACTTGCAAAGTAGTCCCCAGGAACCCACATGTCACCAGGGCAAAGCCGTGAAGTCAGGCTGCAGAGAGGCACCATGCCACAAAACCCCAGCACGAAGAAACGACCAAAAAGTTCAGTCCTCTCATTCTCAGGAGGGGATGACTAACGTAAGATGCCTCTTTGAAAACCAGCATCTGTGGGAAAGATCCCGCTTCAGCTCCTGGATAGTAACTCCAGATCTTCCAAATTTAGGCCGCTGAACCCAAAGAACAGGAGGGCTGCAGCCCAAGAGTGACAACTGCCCTACCATGAAGCAGATGGGAGTACAGATTTGGCTACCATCACTCAAGCAAGCATCTCGGAGCCCTGAGCCTTCTGCATCTTTCCCAGTGAAGTGATGCCTGCTGTGCCGCAGAGGCTGCCTCACCCGTTCATGGCATGTGGAAGAAAGGCAAGTTAAAAAGTGATGTATGAAGCAAGACGTGGTATTTTACATTAAGCATCAGCCATCTCATGCAGCAAGAGCCGATTCCCAGCAGAGAGGAGCACGTCTACAAGGGCAACTTAAAGTGGAACCACTTTAAGTACTTGATACAAATATTTAAACCCAGACAAAATCCCAGTTTAGTCACGACAAAGAAGCAAAGGGCTCAGCAGAGCAGCTGCTTTAGGCCAAAACTGGTCGACCAGCCCTATATCCAGACCACGCTAATGCGCCGGTTCCCAGCTCAGTGGCTGTGAAGACTCCGCCTTGAGGTTTGCTTCATCAGGGGTCACGGTGGCTTTCCTGGGCTGCCGGTATGAAATGTTCCCTCAAACCTAGTAAAAAAACATGCCCCTCCTCTAAAGGAAGGGATTTTGCACATAAAACATCTCTTTGTTTCTTGTCCTACCCCACGGAGAACAGGAATAGCATGGCCACCGCTTGGCAGTCACCGATTCATCATGGGCTGTTACCAGCACGGTCGAGGCAAGACTGGATCTTCAGGCAAGAAGAAAGGGGGCTAAGAACAGAGCAAGGTGGCAGTGCTGCTTCCATCAGCTTGTGGGCAGAGCCAGGTCTTCTCCAAACAAGCACAAGCTGCAAAGAATCACCAGCTTGCAGGGGAAAAGGGACACGGAGGAATTCAAGGCTCAGGAGGAAGGGCACAAGGACACCCCGCCGACCTCACACGCTCCCAACGTCTCCACTAGGATCCCACGTTCATCCTCCTCCTGCGCCGTGGAAGGTGGGCTGGAAAAGGCTGAGGAAGAGATGCCATTGCTACATGCACCAAGCAGCCACCATCTCTCCTCAGAATAACAGGAATGACCAAAGGAGTCCCAAAAATTTGCACGTTTTGCTCTCATTTTGGAGAAACTCTATTGTAAAGAATGCTTCGAAGAAGGCCTGACCAGCTGGCTGCAGTAAACTCTGCACAAGGGAAGCTCCTTCCACCAATCCAGGACCTGAACACGCAACAAATCCTCTCATTTAATTTTTCTTGCTGGCAAATCATTTTTTTTTCCATCCTGCTAACTGCTCCCCGGTTCACACCCTGCAAGGAACCGCCTGCCACGCCAAAACAAAAGGCAATTAGGAAGTGGCAGCAACATTTGCTCTATGCTGCTCTTTATAGGAACCTGCTCATCAGGACAAGAGGAGGAACCCAAAATACAGTGCCCCCAGCACCGCTGCATTTCAGATGCCAGCTCCTTCCTACCGTTCAGGATGCCTCTGTTTTCCTATCCCGCTGGACCTTGCCCAAGGGACTCCAGGCAGGCGCACACTCACCTGGGTTAACAGCATGAACGCGTTGTCTGCTCGGAGGTTCTTCTTGAGAAACTCCACACAATGAGCTTCGAGCGCCGGGACTGCGTATTTTTTAGCTGTGTAAAGTGTTGTCATAACAGTCTCTGGTCCGATCTGAACTTCGTCTGAATAAAGAAATCTGAAAGCATGCACACAAACATTGGTCTCGAGTAGCTAACAAGACAGGAAGAGGAGTCGGGGAATAATCAGAAGAATAATTTTGAAATTCATAAAAGCCATGTCTGTGCACTGGCCATCATCCTGGCATTATTTCCTATATTTGAGAGCAGGAACAGTCTTCAAATCCTTTCCACTGACTCTGGTTTGGAAATACTGTTTTTACCTTGTTTTTAACTCTTAAGGAACGAAGGAGATAGTTTCTAGGTTACTTTATCAGATATTTCAGCTGTCTGAGCACCCCACGTGCAATGAGCTGTTCAGCCTGCCACTTACCCTAGCCTGGAACAGCATCTGGATGAGCTCAGTTAAAATTTTAGGCCGCTCAGTTACACTAAACAACAGCTTCGAGCCACAGGCTCGTGCATGTATTTTGCCCACATCCCTTCATCAGTCCTAGGTTCACAAGCAATCCCTTTCTATTGCAAGATTAAAAACACAGTTGCTTTAAGAACAGTCGTTTCTGTCTACTGCAATGACTCGGGTAGTGATTTCACCTGCAGTCCACACAGCACCCACTAACAGGTAACACAGAGATCCTCAAATCGTGGGGAAAAAAAAAAAGTAGGATTAGTTTTAAAAGCAGAGTTAGACTGTAGCCCAGGCAACTAAAAAGCTCCTTGGGCTACCGGGAAAAAGGAAAAATCCCTATGCAGTTATGGAAGATCTAACGGCCACTAGCCCTCAAGCACCATTAGATCTCGTGTCCAGAAGGGACCTCCAGCTGAACATTCACAACTGGCAGCTTCTTCCTTGGAAAAGGAAGAGTCTCCCCTGATCCCAGGGCATTAGGTCATGGTCTGGACCAACCCCAGAGACATTTGCAAGTATCAGCTTCCCGCCGGCTCCGCGGCGGCTTGTGCTCCGTGAGAGCTCCCACCTGCTCGGGAAGCTCCGTACGGGACCCAGCGCCAGGCTTCCCTCGGCACATTCCAGTTTTGGGCATTTGAGAAGTGTCAGTTCCACTTCAGCTAACACATCACTGCACCATGTGCACAATTGCCTTAGAGTCACCACAATGAATACACCTTTTTTTTCCATAGAAAATAAGAATGTTTCTGTTGAAAACAATCAAGAGCAACCACCGTAGATCTTTTCAGATGATGCTTCTCCTCCGAGATCATTTTGTTCTTTTTATATGGCTGCTGAAACTGGGGAAACGACCCAGTTTGGCTATTTTAACCTAAGCCTTAAAGATAGATGCTAACTTCAGCCTCCAGTAAGATCCGACTGGCTGATGAAGTCACATCTCAGAGGGATCCCCCACATGCTGGTGTCCGAGTTAAAACAAGCCAGGGGAAGGGGCTCCCTGTTATTCCTGGCATCCTGTTCTAGGAAAGACGGATTTTAAAAATCTTCTAAGATTGCACCGGCACCACGGAAGCACTTGCTGGAGGTGGAGCAAAAAGTGTGCCAAAGCTAAACACAGCCACTGTTCCCAGGAGGAGGCCAGCCACGGCACACGCGCCGATCCCAGGGAAAATTCCAAAAAGGCTCCAGGAGAGAGGAGGGAAACACGCAGCAGGCTCCGCACCATGCAGGAGCGCTGACGCCGCCTCGCACCCTGCCCACCTGGGATAAATTGCTCACAGGGCCATAACCCGAATGGGCTCCAAGTATTTGCAACGTATAGAGCATTAAGAGGGTTATTTCCCCCCACTTCTTTTAAAGAGCGTTAGGATCAAGTCAAACCACGTCACAAAAAAGAACTTATAGGACTCTGTTTGAATAGTTAATTTAACTAATCAGAACAGCTCCCTGGTGCTGCAGCTGCATGGTATAACTGTATAAACATATAACAAATTTACAAAATCAAACTGTACAGTTTAGCTTTGTTCGTGCTGGAGGGTAGCGGCAGGAGGGCACATTCATTTTAACTACTGCTAAACCAAGATGCCGAGCGAGACGGGTATTTTTGTGCAACAGATGTACAAGACGTTTACCCAGGGAAAAAGATATTTCACGGGAGCATTTACACGAGCTTCAACGGATCAACAAGGAGGCATTTGGTTTAGAAACTTAATGATTCCCCCTTCACAAAACGGTTCAGTGCTTTCCCTGAAAACATCCCGGTGCGCAGTCAGCCTGGTCCCTCCGTGTAGGTGCAGGACACTCACTTGAGCAGAGCGAGGAAGGCAGCGGGCTCCACGTCGGGCAGCTCGATCTCCGTCGAGGTCGTGGCCATTCCACCATTGAACATCGCATCGAAGACGGCGCTTCCCACAGCCAGCACAAACCTAGCGTTAAAACCCAAAAAAGGGGGGGAAAGGGGAAAAAAAACCTTTTGTTAACCCATATTAACTTAATAAAAAAGAAAAAGAAAGAAAGAAATCCCAGTCTAGCTCCTGTTACCAAGGCCGCCCCCAGGGAAAACATATCAACCATAGGGCTGAGGCAAAAATGTTTTGCAACAGCAGGGAGTTTCCTTTTATTTACTGTGAATTTCCAAAGCTGCCAACAGCTTCATTTGGCAGCCGCATTCCCATAATTACGGTTCCCTGAAGATGGATTTTGCGCATCGTGGATCACACCACGTGCAGACGCTTTGCAAAGTCTTCCTTGAGCCTCTGCCCAGCCTCACCAGCTTGAGGGACGCGGATACAAGGCGTTCAATGGATTCCAGCTCTACCAAAGCGCAGAGCCCAAACCCGTGGAGTCAAACACAGAAAATGCCTACGGAAACCTCATCCCATCCTCCCGGAGGGAGGCATCAGGAGCTGCAGGCAGAAAACGCGACGGGACGAGCGGCACCGGAGGAAACGCTCGCCTGCTCCGGCTGTGCGGCGCCGCGGGACAGTTTGGGTCCGATTTGACTGCAG